AATTCAAGAAAAAATTGCAACATTAGCAGAATTAGTAAAGAAGGGGAGGAATCGAATATTGCATGTGGATGGGGTTCCTCCAAATATTATCTGGTTACCCATGAAGCCAGGCGATTTGGAATGGTATATACAAAATTCTGAAGAGTTACAAGCTGCACTACTACAGGATGGCGCTACTACAGTAGCAAAAACGTTACAATCAACTGCTCTGACATGGATGGAAAACCAGAGATGGATAACTAAGCCAAAACGATCGTCTATCCCACTTAAGAATGCAGTGACAGTTTTCACTGACGCAGGAAAACGTTCTGGAACTGCTGCAGTGACTTGGAAGGATGAGCATGGTTGGAAACATCAAATTTTACAAGCCCAAGATAAAGACTCATTACAGACACTAGAACTTCTTGCAGTAGTATGGGCATTTATAAAATGGAGAGATGTTCCGTTAAATGTGGTATCCGATTCCTTATATGTAGTAGGCATAGCAAATCGTATAGAAGACTCAGCCTTAAGAGACTTAAAAAATGAACGGCTGTCAGAATTAATAATCGGTCTACAGATCGTCATAGCTCAAAGAAGTGAACCGTATGCAGTAATACACATAAGGAGTCATCAGTGGGAAGAAGGCCTGCAATGCTCGAGCGGACCAACTAGTCGCCGCAACAGCTACTGAAGCACCACTGTCACCCTTTTGCAGAGCTCGGGAGGCTCATGCTATTTTTCACCAGAACGCTAAAGGACTTGCGCGGGCTTACAAACTGTCTAGAGCTGATGCGCAGGTGATAGTAAAAGCTTGCCCAACGTGTAGTCATTACAATTCGGGTGTGGGAATCGGAATCGGAACAAACCCGAGAGGGATTAAAACCAACGAAGTGTGGCAAATGGACGTCACTCATGTCACAGCATTTGGCAGATTGAGATATCTGCATGTAACGATAGACACTTATAATCACATGATTTGGGCTACACCGCAGCCTGGGGAAAAAGTTCGGGATGTACGACGTCATCTTGCCAGTTGTTTTGCAGTAATGGGAGTACCACAAACCATAAAGACAGATAATGGTCCAGCCTATGTTAGTGGGCCACTTAAGCGATTTATGGAACTGTGGAACATTAAGCATATAACTGGTATTCCACATTCACCAACTGGTCAAGCTATAGTAGAAAGGGCTAATGGAACAGTTAAGCAGTACTTGGAAAAGTTTAAAGACATTACAGATATTAGAGAGAGGGTGGATAAAACCTTATTTGTTCTCAATCATTTGTGTGTATTTGGAGATGATGAGGAACCACCCGCGACACGTCATTACATTAAGTCTGAAAATGATAATAAATGTATCATGAGAGTACTGTACCGAGATATGAAAACGGGACAATGGCTGGGGCCTGCTGATGTGATTTATATGGGGCGAGGTTATGTGTGTATCTCTTCCCCTACAGGGCCAACCTGGGTGCCTAGTCGGTGTGTTAAACCAGCCATTGAAGAAAAGTCATCAAGTACGAATAACAGCAACCATGGCTGATCTAACGGCACAAGGGATTTTGGTTGCATTATCTTTGACAATGATGGTTGGACGTAATAGTGCCATCCTAAGCAAAATCGATCCTCAAACCAATATGTGGGTCACTTGGGCAAATCAAACCGGACAAAGTTCATTTTGCCTATTCCTCGCTTCTGCGTCTGATCCTTTCGTTGATGAGTTGATTATGTTTGAAATGGTTAAGGGATCATACGCAAAAAAAAAAAAAAAAAAAAAATTGTAGTACAAGATAGTTGGTTTGAAGGTTGGTTTAAATCTGTTTTTGGGAACATGGGTGGATGGTTTTTTCTTCGTCAAAGAGGAACTTCGTTTTCTACTTATAGTTATATTGATTATAGTTGCTGCAAAATAAAAACGGGGGAATTGTGGAGGAATCGTTAAGTGAGGCAGGACATGTGAATGTTGAGCAGTTGGGAGACAATGGGCTGGTGAAGCACCGCACTCAACTCACATGAGCCTTGGCACGTATGCAGCTGGCTGAGAGCCAATCAGGCTCAAGGACACGATGCCCTTGGGCCATCGGGGAAAGTCCCTAAGGTGGGACAGGTAGCCAAAAGAAGGAGGGCCAGACTGAAAAGCCCGGGAAGTGTTAACCAATCCTGAGCTTAGTTTCTGCAATATGTATGAGTTGATTATGTTCAAACTAGATAAAAGACGACTGAGCTATCCATTAAAGTTGAAGTTCACTGTTCACTCATATTGAGCGTCTGTGTCTTCCTTCCGTCGGCAACACACTCTGGCACAGGGAACTTGGATGATACATTTCCCCTAAACCCTGCTCCATCACTTTACCACCAATGTTGCAACTTTGATAATATTTGAAATAGAGGTGAAGGCATAAGGTCACAATTGCAGGAAGCCCCGTAATTCTGCAAAAATCAGAAGGGACCTAGAACCACAGAGAAAACACGCAAAATAACATCATTTGTTAACAACGACGTAAGAAGTTGTTAACAAAACAACAACTATCCATAAGCACGCTGTAAAAATTACTCACTTGAAGAAGAGCTGCATGCGGTAAAGGCACCTACTACTACAAAGATGGCTTTACTCGCAAAGATCCTACGAGTTGTTACCTCAAAAAGACGTGCTTCTCTCTCTCAACTTGGAAACGCATCAGCCCATACACTCTGACCCACCTAAAGAACCCTGCACGCTGGCAGGATGCAGCGGTGCTGCGGGATGGGGACATTTCCTGCCTCTGCAAGTGAATTCTGAAGCCTGCTGCACGCACTCAGGGATTTCCCCACAACACTGCGCTCATGGCATTAATGCATGCCATTACCAATGCTGCATGCATTAGTGGAGATGCACTTCACTTGGGCCATTGCCTTCTCTCCCAGCCTTGCCATTGTCCCCCCGGCACAGCTCTAACAAGCTTTGTTTCAGCCCCGTCCCCCGTCTTACCTAGTTTAAAGCCCTCTCAATGAGCCCCACCAGCTCCTGGCCTAGGATCCGTTTCCCCCTTAGAGACAGGGAGATATGATTATGTAAGGGGCAGTATCTGGGTAAATATGACAACCCTCACCCCTCCCCATCTACCCCCAAATGTACAGCTCCTCCAGGACGTACGTGCAGGAGGAGCAGGCAAAGAAAGGCTAATTCAATTAAGGCTAATTTCATGGGCACCATGTTTCTTCTTCAGCCTTGATTTTGTGGCTAGAACTGAGTCTTATATACAAAAGCAAGGCCGATACAACAATTTATCAAGTTCAGCAATCCCTTCAGCTTGCTATGTTACATCTTTTCTGTTTTATCCTCATTGTTTCAAAGAGACCAGAGAAGCCACAAAAGGCACTATGGCCCTTAAGGTGGAGTCGATCTTCAACATTGACCCTTGCGGAAGGGGACAGGCAGGGCTCCGCAGGGTGCTGAAGGGTGTTCCCCGGGGCTATGGGATGCGCTGGATGGCAAGAGACACGAGAGCAAACGGGGGCCTCGGCAGACCCTGAAAGGAGCCCGGTGCCCACAGGCAAGCTGACTTAAAGAAAAAGGAGTCCACAATCAGTAAGCTTGTAAGCGCTGGGCAGAACGGGGGGTAATCCCACCAATGACTACCTGACGTGGCAACTTGCCTTGCTTATCTGCAGCAAAGAGTTACATGGGCCTGAAGTTTCACAACGCGCCCGTACATATTCATAGCCTGTCCCCGCTTCGTCTTAAAATTAGTCCCAAGCAGTCATTTCCGGAAACTCCTCCCATTTGCACCAGGGAGGTGGTCAGTGAGAGAGGGAGTTAGGAGAATACAATAATTTACTACCTTTTAGAAATGAAATGAATGCACTAACTATATAGAAATGGGGGGACAGAGAGAGGGAGTTAGGAGACTCTTATCAAGCACAGATAGAGCGCTGATGGCATTAAGCTAGGATGCTGCTCAGCGTCTTTGCTAGCCGTGGTACATTGTGCAAATTACCTAAAGCAAGAAGCTTTTTTTAGGATCTTTGAGAGTATAGCCATCTATGTAGTAGTAGGTGCCTTTTCTGCATGCAGCTCTTCTTCAAGTGAGTAATATTTACAGCATGCTTATGGATAGGAAGATGATGTTATTTTGCAGTGACGAGGAAGAGTCACCAACCTTCATCCCCACGACCCCTGATGACGACCACCAGGAGACACTGCGCAAGCGCAGATGGGAGGAGTTTCCAGCAATGACTGCTTGGGACTAATTTTAAGACGAAGTGGGGACAGACTGTGAATATGTACAGGTGCGTTGTGGAACTTCAGGCCTAGTAACTCTTTGCTGCAGATAAGCAAGGCAAGTTGCCGCATGAGGTGCGCATGACCTTGGTGGTGTGAGGAAAATCTCACATAACTTTCTTTAGACAGAATCTTCTGTGAAGCTATTTTATTCGCGATTGCAAGGGCGGGCGTCCTGTCAATCAGGAGCGCATTTTAGTAGACAAATCCTAACCTTTTATGCCCTATTACCCGACACCTGATCACCTCCCCTGTTTCCTCATTGGCAGAGTACTACAGGTTCACAAGCTGCTCGACCCTCCTCTATACCATATATGTACCATTTGTCTTGTTTTCAACCCTTGAATTTCTCCCTTCTTGTGTGTTGAGGTCTTGTGATCTTTGTTTTACTGTTCTCATACTGCTCATCCTGTTTGTCTCAAGCTTGCAACTTATTTTGGAACAGCGAGGCCTTCTACCGTCCACTCATCTACTTAGCATTTCTCCTTGTTATGACTACACAACTACCTTGCAATACAGAAAATTAGTTCTGTACTGCAAAAACACAACTTTGTTTCTCACAGGGGGACTACCCCCGTGCCGCCCAGCGCTGAATAAACACACCTACTTTACAATCTTATGGATTGTGGAGTCCGTTTTCCATAAGCCACCGCCCCTAAGCCATTCCCCACCACACCACCTAAAACCCTTACAGCTGCCCACTACGGTAGAGGCTGGAATGCTCAGCACACCATGCAAAGGATTCCACGGCCCTGCACGTGGTGTTGGAATTTTAATGGAATGCAGGCGTTTGAAGGTTTTGTGCCTCTCCCTGGCTTAGGAGAGGCAGCAGCACAGTGCCCGCCGGCACCAGCTCGATGTCAGCTGCTCCCTTGGACGTGTCAGGATGAAGATGGTCTGAGTGGCCAGAGACACAACACTTTCCTCCTCGTCATTCTGCAAGGGCCGGAGGACTGCAATGGAGAGAAACAGAGCAGAAATTAAACCCACCTGTCTGCAGAGACTGCGGGCAGAGCCTGCCACCCCTCCACCCGTCACTTCCCGCAAAGACACAGAGGGACCAAGGGGTTAGAGTCAGAGAATCATTAACTATCCTGCGTTGGAAGGGATCACTGAGCCCAACTCCTGACTGCACACTGGACGGCACAGGACTTAACACCACATATCCAACAGCTTTGTCCAAATGCTTCTTGAACACCCGCGAGCTCGGGCACCATGCCTGCTTGCCTGGGGAGCCTGCTTCAGTGCCCAACCACCCTCTCAGGGAGGGACTTTTCCCCAAAATCTGATCTGAACATCCCCTGACCCGGCTTTAAGCCACTCCCTCGCCTCCTATCACCGGTCGCCTGAGAGGAGAGCTCGGTGCCTCCCTCTCTGCTCCCCGTCACAAGGAAGTTGTAGACAGATGTGTTTTGCTGTTAACATACTCCAGAAAAGCCCTTTTTCTTAGCCAGCGCAGTACTGGCCAGCTTCAACCCCAGCCGAGCTTTTGGCCATACAAACTTTCTCCCTTCCCTCTGAGAAAGGTGAATGCCCCCTGCCCCACCGGTCGTGGACCCACACCCCGCTGCCCTCACTCACTGCTGCAGATTTCATGGATCTTCATCTCGCTCTGGTCCTTGCAGTGCTGCGCGGCAAGACCTAGGCACAAAGCTGCTGTCAGAAGCCTGCAAGGCTGCCCCCAGGCCCACTTGCATGGGGACCCAGTCCCGGGGGGGACTCTAGGGACACTGGGGCTGCTAAAGGCTGACAAAAGAGGGACCCCGGGGGCTGTGGCTCACCGATGAACCTGACGGCTGCCTCCCGCAAGGCGACCTGAGTGTGCTGCAGGTACGGCAGGCTCTGCTGCAGGTATTTCTCCACCTTTCCCTTGTCCTGCACGAGCTGGAGAGAGCGCAAGGTTACAGGGCTTGCAGACCCTGCCCGGCTGGACAGACCACCCCCTCCTGCCAACACCCCCCCTTCCCCTCAGGCCATTCCCATCTCCCAGCCACGAGCCCTGTGGGGCTGGGGTTTTGAGGTATGGAGAGAGCTGTTGTCTTTACCAAGTACTCTGCGATCTTCCAGGTCTGCTCTGTCTGCGCCAGGTGCTTGAGTTTTCCCTGCTTCAGGAAGTCTGCAGCGGTGACAAGGGCTTCCAGGGAGGCCTGCAGAGCAGCAGAGGCTGAGAGATGGCACCAGAGCCCAGGGAAGGGGACCTGGCAACGCCCACCTCTTGGCAGGGCTGCAGGCCTTTCCCAGCCCCCGGTGGGATAATGCAGTGGGGGGTGAGTGTGAACTGCGTTTGGCATAAGGAAGGAGGGGAGCTGTGCCCCCATTCTCCATGACACAGGCAGCTGCACCCCGAAGGGACACACATGCCAAGTGCCCGATTACCTTCAGCCCTGGCCCCGGACACCCAGGCAACCCCTGTGGTGTCAGTCTGCTAGTCCCTCTAGTCAGGTATGCCATACGCACCTTGGCCACGCTCTGGGTCTGGTCACTCAGGTGAAAAAAGAGTGGGAGCAGGCCCCTCTGCACGACCTTCTTCAGCTGCCTCTTGTGGTACCACAACACAGCCTGCATCACTTTGTTGTAGAGGCAGATGGAGAGCTCTTGCAGCTGGCTGCACTCCTGGTAGGGAGGAAGAGAGGAAGACTTCAGCAAGAGCTGCTCCCTGCCCGCGGTGAGCAGGGGCGTTAGGGTGGCTGACGTGAACGGAGGTGCTACAGAATCAGAGTGTGCTCAGAGGAGCTGTGGCCAGATCTGTAGCCACAGTGAAAGGACACAGCCCCACTAGAGGGAACGTAAGAGGCCTCCTTCACGGGGGGCAGCTGTCATGAGAGTGCCCATCTGTGGGCTCAGGTCCTGCAGCAGCCTTACATCGTTAAACAGTGGCAGGATGTCCCCAGCCACTTGCAGAGCGATGGAGCTGGCCTGCTTCCTCTTCACGTGATCCATCACGTTTCCGATGAGAAGCAGGGCCTTCATCTTGGTGTCAGCCCTGGCAACGTGCAGGCCCTGAATGATGCCTGGCAGCAGCACGGGAAGTTTTCTTGCCTGGAGGAAGGACAGAGTTTCCATTTGGTGAAACGATGAAAGGCCACCCTGGCCAGAAGCCTGTGGTGCCAGAGCACCAGGCTGCCATCTTGCTCGCGCAGAGGCAGCACGAGAGTCGCACCGGGCAGCAGCCAGCAGACAGGCGATGGCCATGGGCAGCCCTTGCGTATGTGAGGGGAGCAAGGGTAGGAAAAGGAGGGCAGCTGAGCAAAGACTCTGTGCCCCCTTTTCGGACCCGCTCCAAAAGGTACACGGCATGCATGGAAAGCTCCCCAGAGAGCCGCTGGGCCCCTCCATGGCCAGCTCATTTCTTGGCCATTTCTTCTGCGCCACAGAGCTGCGGGCAGAGCAGAGCCCTCCCAGCTGGCCGGGAGCAGGCCATGATACCTTCAGGACAAAGGCCCACCGGCCTTCACAGTAGTGTGCCCTGCTCACCGTGACAGGTGTCTCTGACGCTGGGAGGAGAGCGCTGAGCACCACCGAGTACGTCACTCGGTTGGGATGCTTCAAGAGCCTCTGGAGGTGGCGCAGGGCCTCCGAGTCGTCTTCTCCAACATCTGGGTGGGCCAGCAGCTGAAAGGAACACAGCATTGAGAGACTGTCGGAGCCTGCAGGGCTGCAGGCAGCTCCTGGCTCTCCCGGTGCCTCAGGCCAGGGGCAGCTGTGGCTGTGGAGGGCCGCAGGGCCCCTGAGTGCCCTGTGCCTGGCAGCACCCAGCAGCCTTTCTTTGCCTGCTCCTCCCGCACGGACGTCCTGAAGGAGCTGCCAGTTTGGGGGTAGATGGGCAGAGGCACACACACGGCCCTGAAGAGGAGCAAGGCCTCGTCCAGTAACTCACCGCCAAGTGAGGGATGCAGTTGTCCTCTGGGATGAAGCCCGGGAGCCCGCGCAGCTTCTGCTCCTGGAGCACGCCAAGTGTCTCCCTCAGGACATTCTCCATCGTCTGCTTCTGGGAGAACATGGTTTCCCACATGGCCAGGGCAGCGCTGCAAGGACGGAGCACTCAGTCAGCAGGGCACACTCCGCCCCAGCGCCGTGGCCTGCACAGGCCCTGCAGGCCCCAGGCTGTCCTGCAGCCCTGGCCCTGCCGCCCCCCTCCCTTGGGGTGCCCTGGGAGCCTTGTCCAGGCAAGCAGGAGAGGGCAGAGATGACGTTCCCTGTGGTGGCAGGGATCCTGGCTGGCTTGCTCAGCTCTGGCTGCCCTGGCTGTGGCCAAGGAACCACGGCTGGAAAGCATGGCGGCGTGGAGGGCCCTGCTCTGGAAACGCAGAGCAGGGCCCTGGAGTTTGCTGTGGATGTGTCAGGCGGAAAGTCTCCTGTCCCCTCCCCTCCCATACAAGAAGACCTGAAGGTTGGCATGCCTGTCAGATGATGGCCACATCTGCAGCAGGGTGCTGGCCACCTCCCTTGGCCGCTGGTTGGCCAGACAGAGGATGAGGCTGTCCAGGCTGCGCCGGGCTGATGCCGTGTTGATGCACTCCACGTGTCTGTAGATGCACCTCACGATCTCTGGCACCTGGAGAGGCAAAAGTGGAGTGCAGACGTACTTTCAGCCACTACTCACACAACTGCCCTTCCCATGGCTCTGGGATGGCTTCCAGGGATTGCCTGCGGTGCCTGAGAGGGCTGGACGTGGGAGGGAGGAAGCGGGGCCTGACATGGGCTAACGGGCAGGGCAATCCAACTGCAGGCCACTTACGTCGGTCAGCCAGGAGGCAGGGTCTTCGATGGCCATGTCCAGCACACCGCTGACCTCCTGCTTGTCGTATGTGTTGGAGTCTCTCAGGGCTTCAATGACCTTGAGGATGACGTCTGTCCTCTGAGACTGCTGGAGGTATTTTCCAAAGTTCTGCAAGGAGGAAGGGACGTAAGACACGTTGCAGCAAGTGCCCCGATGGTGCTGCAGAACTGAGCGGTGAGAGCAGCTCTGGAGACAGATGCCTGAGCGTGCTGGCAGCAGTGCCCACGGGAAAGCAGGAAGCAGGGGCTGCAGTCCCTGCGTGGTGGGGGCTGAGAAGAGCCCTCGGGGTGAGGGACCAGGGTTGGAGGCACGGGCCCAGGGTGCTGGCCCTGGAGATATGCGGGGCTTGCTGGTGGCCAGGAGGGCCAGGAGAAACTGCTGCTGGGAGGCCTATGGAAAGGCCCTACTCAGGGACAGCAGGACCGCGCGGGCCAGAACAGCGAGGCCACACCAGCCGCACTGATGCTGGAGCCCTGTGTTCCCACAAGTCTCCTGCTGCTGCTGGGACAAGTGTGCCAGGAAGGGAGGAACTCATTACCGTGGCAATGTCCGTGGCAGTGGGTAAAGGAAGCCTCGGTATGGCCTCAGCTTTCCCCTGAGGCTGTTGACTAGCTTCTGGTGCTGTTCTTCCTAAACACGGCAGCGGAGGGGGACAAAAAGAAGAAGATTCACAAGGACAAGCCACTTTTGTTAGGAGGCTTACCAAGTGGTGAAAAGAGCTTTTGAGTAGGAATGGCTGAGGAGGGCGGAGATGCTGCAGAGCCCAGGGAGGCAGTGTTGGACAGAGATGGAAAGCAAAGGCAGACAGCTGATGGGAGCAACGGAGATGGCAAGAGAGCAAGGGCTGACGTGTGCCTCAGGGGTACACATGCAAATGCTCCCAGCCTGGGACACGCAAAGGAACGAGAGCCCTGCGTGCAAATCGCACAACTAAAACGCTATTGGCCTAACTGAGGTGTGGGGGGTGGCTCGAAGGGCTGGAGCGCTGTAGTGCAGGGATACGAGGGGGACATACAGGGATCCTCTCTCTAGGAAGACCGCTCTAGAGGTCTCCACAAGAGCGCTCCATGGCACTACTTAGGAGAAGAAGCAAGTGCCTCAGGCAGTGCCTGTGTCTGGAGGGGAAGGAAGCCCAACACAGCTTCTCTTACTGTTTTTCTGGATGAATTGGTAGAGGTAATAAAGAGCATCCAAAGCCTCCCATCGTATCTGCCTGTTCTCGCAAGTGTGGCAAAGGAGGAGCCATCCCACCAACTGTCCCAGGAGCGGCACATTGCACTCAGTGTATCCTCCATCAGCGCTGTGGTCCTGGGCGAGAGAGAGAGGAGGGAAGTGCTGTGGGAGGCAGCTGGGGCCAAAGTCCTGGAGCCAAGAGTGTGCCCAGGGCTGGCTCCCAGGTGAGTCAGCAGCCTTGGCCATGCCTGCTCTCCCACCGTGCTCCCTGGGCGCTTGAGGCCTGCACAGGACGGGGGGCAGAGCTGGCTCCCAAGAGTGCTCTCAGGGACTGGGAACATCCCCCACTCGGGGTCCATGGGCAAAGGAGGGCTGAAGGCCCTTGCTTCAGGGCTGAGCCCTAGCTGAGGGTCTGTAGCCGGGCTTGCCTCGGCAGCACCCCTGAGCTGCAGGCTGATGTGGTCTGCGGGGAAGGGGAGGTGGGCTGGCTGGAGGGGTGCGTGGCTCCTTACCTCCGGTGAGAAGCGTGTGGCTAGCCAGCTGGTCAGCTTCGCGGCCCTCCCCACGGCCCTCTCGCAAATGGCTTCGCTGTCGGAGTTGGCAAAGAGCAGCAGAATCTGTGAGGGGAGAAAGTGCTGGTCTGCCCTGGGAGCTGATGCCCGCTAAAGCAGGAGCATCAGTGCTGGGCTCCCGCAGCACTCCGATCTCGGGAGGAAAGCACCACGGACAGGGAGGCAGGTGGACAGCAGCAGCACCAGTGGTGACCAGTGCAGTGCCTGGGAAGAGGGGTCCAATTCCTGCCGCTGTGTAGACGTAAAGGAAGCCCAGGAGTGCCATGGGCAAGGCTTTTCTCCGACACAGGAGGAGTCTGTGGAGGGGAAAGGTCTGCAGCCAGGGGATACGGGGCTGCCAGAAGACCTCAGTGGGCAGCCCCCGGTTCCCCCAAGGGAGGCGGGCACCCTTCCTGCCCTGTGCTGCCTGTGCATTGGCACTGAAGTAGGGTCTGTCCGTTCCGCAGTGGATGCTGAATTCCCTCCGGGTGAGGAAGCGCCCCTGGGAACACTGCTCTTGGCAAGTGGCAGACCTGCAAGATGTCCTGCAGCTCAGTGAAGCCGGAGAGGGGAGAATTTCTGATGAACAGCCTCAGCATGCGGTCCATGGCGTCCAGGGTCTGCAAGGACAACAAAGGGGTGGCAGTGGATCTCCAGTCCCTCTCCCTCTGCCAGGATCTGCACAGATCTCAGCACAGAGCAGCCAGGGATCAACCCAGAGGGATGGGTGCTCCAAGAGCTCTCCCAGAGCATACCCTCAAGTAGCAGACGCGGCTCTGGCACTCCAAATGCTCGTGTGAGGGCAGCAAGAAGACACTGTTGAAACAGGTGAGCAGGATGCTCTTCTTCCTGCCATCCAGTGCTAAGTTGACATAGCTGCAAAGAAAGCAAGGGGCCTCGTTGTCACGGTGCTGGGAGCAGGGCCTCAGGGAGGAGGACGCAGCACTGCGGGGCCTCGGTCCCTGCCATGGGGACTGCCTTCCACCTTCCAGAAGCCCCGAGGCTTGGCGAGCAGCGGCCCCGCGGCTGGCACTGCCAGGCTGCTGTCTAGACAGGGGAAGCCTGGAAGCCAGGCCCAGGGCCAGAGCAGGGGCTGGGCACATACCTCAAGTGGCCAAGTGCAAGCATGGCTTGCTGCTGCACTGCTGTGTGCAGAACGTCCAAGGGCTCCTCTTCCAGCAGCACCTGCAGAGCACAACCGGGATGGCACCGGGCATCGGGCGGCACAGCTCGGCAGCGCCAGCAGAGCTGGTCCAGGTCAGAAGGGCCGGTGGAGCCCCAGTGCCCCCTCTAGCCCCCCTCCCCCTTTTTGCCCCCAGTCCGTATGCCCTTCCCCTCATACCCCCTCTTTTTACCCTACCACTTGTACCCTATTTCCTCCTTTCCTCCTCCCCCCCCCTTTTTACCCTTTGCTTTTACCCCCCACCCCACCAGGGGTATCCAGCCAGTCCCGTTTTTTTGGGGGGGAGCCTCTCGGCTGGAGGGGAGGGCAGCCCAACACAGCTTCTCTTACTGTTTGTCTGGATGAATCGGAAGAGGTAATGAAGAGCATCCAAAGCCTCCCATCGTAGCTGCCTATTCTCCCAAGTGTGGCAAAGGAGGAGCCATCCCACCAACTGCCCCAGGAGTGTGAGAGGGGAGACCCACGGCCAGCAGCAGGACCTCGAGGGGCTCAGGTAGGAGGACGCAGCGCTGCGGGGCTTCGGTCCCTGCCATGAGGACTGCCTTCCACCTTCCAGAAGCCCCGAGGCTTGGCAAGCAGCTGCCCCGTGGGATACGGGGCTGCCAGAAGACCTCAGTGGGCAGCCCCCGGTTCCCCCAAGGGAGGCGGGCACCCTTCCTGCCCTGTGCTGCCTGTGAGTGGCACTGAAGTAGGGTCAGAGCAGCCAGGGATCAACCCAGAGGGATGGGTGCTCCAAGAGCTCTCAATGGGACACCCCTCCCCCCGCTCGGGGGGAGGAGGTGGAAGAGGGTGGATGGGGGGGAAGGTGCCTTTGGTTTCTTTCCTTTGTTTCTCACTTCTCTATGATCCTATATATATAGGATAATAAATAGAGAGCTACATATATAGAACAAAAATATCAAATAAAAGTACTTAAATATATTTACGAAAGGTCAAATAAATTTAAAATATCTTAAAATACATATATATTAGATTTTATATCCCTATATGAGATACTATTTACTAAATTGCTTACAAATAACAGAGCAGTGTGCAACAAAAGCCTCTGGAGCGTAAAAATTAAGTATGTTGAAGACTACGTGTCGGACCAGAAGGCTGAGATTTCTTTCTTAATTTCCTAGTAAGAAAAAAAAAAGACAAAATTATGACTCAAACTACTATCACTGATCCGGGGCACAATCAAATGCAAACACGTCCCCTATTCATTCATAAGTGAAGGATTGAGACCAAAAACACAACTTCATGATGAAAGCGCCCAAGTGGACTAAATAATTAAGTAAACAGGTACAACTTTGGGAATGAAAGGTTTGGTTATAGAACTAACTACTTGGTGGTATCATCCTGACCATATATATCCAGTACCAGATTTGCCCTCCATGGAACAAGGCGGTGTCTCTACATACCACTCTTTTGTTCAAGTTGTCAATTTTTTTTCCCTATAAAGTTGGACTTTGCCACGGTAGCACTAATGTTGAATTTCAGTTCTCACCTCTGTATTTAGCAAGTTGAAGAGGAACTCTCTGTCAAAGCGTCCTGGTCTTCGTAAAGCAGGATCTATAGAATCCAGTCTGTTGGTAGCTCCGATTACCACGATCTCCCCTCTGTTATCTATGCTGTCCATAAGCGTCAGAAGAGTTGAAACAATGGAACTAATAGAAAAATACAAGTTTTACTTACCGGTTCAGTAAATTTTGTTACATTCCACATGACTTTCTTCCAGGAGTAGTCATAATGGACAAGCTTTTTAAGGACAAGACTCGTTTTAAGACATAAAAAATAGGTAAGTTAACACAGACCACATGCTGATCTCAGGCTTAGTAAATTGGTTTCAACTATCGTTTAGAAGCACCTGTTTTGGCATTGAGTTACAAGTTTTCAGGATAAATTAACGTGTTCACAGTAAATTAAACAGGTCATCATCCTTTTTTTTTTTTTCCATTCCCCAAAGATCAAGCAGATTTTATGTAGGTGCAAAACTGTAATACCTATGAATGTCAGAATTGCGTGGAAGTGCACTTAGAACAGTTGCAGAAATCTAGACTCAGGCCAGTCTTTATCACAAAACTTTGTCATAGCCAGAACCTAGAAATCCCTACCCAACCACTAGCACCTTGTAATCTCTTCACAGACCAAGCATTAGGAATCACCAACCCCATAACACAGTACTTTTCCCACACTGATGTATTTTTTCCCTAAGACTAAGATTGCAGTCACCAAGCAGATACCTCAGTGAGAATCTATACCAGCCTTACCACATTAGGGAAAGCACACCAAAACCAAGTTAAATATATTAGAAGCCACAAACTTGCTGGACACAAAGTTTAATCAAGATGTTTTAGCTGGGGTGCGTTTCATTTCTTAAGGGTAAGGCTATGCTGCAGTCTGCAGAGTGTGAAGTTTATTGGTCAAATAAATTGGTTAGTACTCAGTTCTGTGGTGATGCAGGTCCACTGCTCCAATCAGGCATGCCAAGTTCAATGAGACCAGACATCTCAGCACTACTACTCCAATTTCCAAGTTCTGTTCGGGTCTCTGAGACTGCTTGATCTCAGCATACAGATCGTGCAATTAGTGTTAAACTAAAAATGAAACTCTACAATGAAAGTGTACAACTGAGTATCAAGTATCCATTGTCTATGAACTCAAACTTGTTTATATTTTACATTTTCTTTGAAAGCTATACCTCCATACTGTATGTATATGGAAAACAATCTAAGCACAGCTTCAGCTACCTTAGCGACATTTAAGTAAAAACAGGAATTCAAAATACTTGTTAGAATCTGCAATGCGGAAGGCAGTGCTGTGCAAGTGCTACGGGTTATAAGTTTTGCTACCAGCTTGCCTTGAGGGATGGAACAACTAGGAATATATATATGAAATTTTTAGTTTACATAAGATACGGATATTGAAAAAGCTTCTGAATTCCCCTACAAGCATAAGGCTTAAGATTCCTAGAAAACCGATTTTTTAAACACCAATTTAGTAAGGCCAACAAATGATTAATATTTGCTGTAACAGTTGAAAGTTACGCATTTTAGCTAACACCAAAGTTCTGTTTTCCAGGCAGGCTAGAAATTATGGTCAAAGTATGGAACAAAAGCGTAATCAGGTATAGAACTAAAGTGCTTTGAACTAGTTTCTTACTCAGCTTCAAACATTTTTGCTAAGGAATGTTGCAGTTTGAAGACATACTGAAGACATGTTTTCCATATAATTGAGAGGCTGCCTGTGAGAATTCAAACACTGGTAAACATCATGAAATCACAGGCATCATAGGCCAGTTGAAACAGGAACTAATCTGGTGAGTTAGCACCTAGGGGTCTCACTAAAGGAAAAGAGCCACAAAGACACCTCTCATACTATCATTTAAGAAATGTAAACAAGATCAGGGGAAGAAGAGATTTACCAGCTAGCTCATGCCAGTCAATTTGGAGTATTTCTGGCTTTAGTCAAACTAGCACAACTGGCAGAAAGCAATCAGAAAACAGGCAGATGTGAAGGAAAACAGAACTGTCTCCTCCACACTGACCTATAAATAAGCTTTGTGTGAAACAAAAAAGAAAATTAGCCTTACGTGGTTGAGCAACATAGTCATATTAATAAAAAACAAGAATGATACCAAAAGATCAAACGGGGATTCAAAACTAAGATTAAAGTCTTCCATATTTCTGAATGCCTGAGTTCATCTTGGCATGGACAGGGAGAAGTGCAAGAATGCTGGCCATTTCCCTCTCATGGAAGCTTGGTTTGACAATTAGTCTTCTTTTTTATTTTATTTATCCCGCAAAGAACACATCAAAACCTGTGCCATCATGTCATCTTCATCAGCATCATAATCCTATGAACAAAGGGTACAGAAATTCTTTACTGCCAGGGCCATATTGGTTAACACAACACAAAACCAGCTGTCTCCTCCTCTGACTTAACAGTAATTCCACTTCTCTCATTATACCATCTGCAAGGACTACATTTTACAGTAGTGGCTACATAAAAAAAGCTGGGTTTTAAGAGTCATCAGGCTCACGTATTCCAAGGATGAAGAAACACGTACCACAAAAGTATCGTATGAAAACCGGTGTCATCTCTGAAGGTGTTCCATGAAGTTAGCACTCCTGTGACGCGCACGGGGCTGTCGAACACCTCGAGGCACACGGGGCAGGTGAGGCGCACCAGCGGGTTGGGCCGCTCGAGGCCGCGGGCGGAGGGCGCGCAGGACGCCGAGGATTTGCCACCTCCCCGGCCACCGCCATCTCGCCGGCAGCCGCCACACGGCCACGCCCCTGGCGCACGCTTCGTTGGGTTAGAAACTGGCTGGATAGCCAGGCCCAAAGAGTCGTGGTAAATGGAGTCAAGTCCAGTTGGAGGCCGGTCACTAGTGGCGTCCCCAGGGCTCGGTGCTGGGGCCGGTCCTCTTTAATATCTTCATCGATGATCTGGATGAGGGCATTGAGTGCACCCTCAGTAAGTTTGCAGATGACACCAAGCTATGTGCATGTGTCGATCTGCTCGAGGATAGGAAGGCTCTGCAGGAGGATCGGATAGGCTGCACCGATGGGCTGAGGTCAACTGTATGAAGTTCAACAAGGCCAAGTGCCGGGTCCTGCACCTGGGGCGCAATAACCCCAAGCAGAGCTACAGGCTGGGAGATGAGTGGTTGGAGAGCTGCCTGGCAGAGAAGGACCTGGGAGTGATGGTGGACAGTCGGCTGAATATGAGCCAGCAGTGTGCTCAGGTGGCCACAAAGGCCAACGGCATCCTGGCTTGTATCAGAAACAGTGTGGCCAGCAGGGCTAGGGAGGTGATCGTCCCCCTGGACTCGGCTCTGGTGATGCCGCACCTCGAGTACTGTGTTCAGTTTTGGGCCCCTCGCTACAAGAAGGACATCGAGGTGCTTGAGCGGGTCCAGAGAAGGGCGACGAAGCTGGTGAGGGGCCTGGAGAACAAGTCCTACGAGGAGCGGCTGAAGGAGCTGGGCTTGTTCAGCCTGAAGAAGAGGAGACTCAGGGGTGACCTTATTGCTCTTTACAGATACCTTAAAGGAGGCTGTAGCGAGGTGGGGGTTGGCCTGTTCTCCCACGTGCCTGGTGACAGGACGAGGGGGAATGGGCTAAAGTTGCGCCAGGGGAGTTTTAGGCTGGATCTTAGGAAGAACTTCTTTACCGGAAGGGTTGTTAGGCACTGGAACAGGGTACCCAGGGAAGTGGTGGAGTCACCATCCCTGGAAGTCTTTAAAAGACGTTTAGATGTGGAGCTTAGGGATATGGTTTAGTGGGGACTGTTAGCGTTAGGTCAGAGGTTGGACTCGATGATCTTGAGGTCTCTTCCAACCTAGAAATTCTGTGATTCTGTGAATGTGGTCTTGTTTACTGGAGCGCACAGGAGCGAGACCATCTATCTCATCAAAGAAAATAATTGAAGGTCGCATCTGATAGGCCTAGCACGAAAACACAGAGTAAAACAGCATTATTTAAAGGAAAAATGCACAAAAACATCATGGTTGGAATGTCATCTAAACTACATCTTTCATTTTAGCCTCTGGGACCTCTACTGATAGAGCTACTGGAGTATCTGGCATGACTAACAGAAGACAGTCTGTCTCAACCCACTGTATCCGGGTGACAGGAAGCAAATCGTTCCAGTAGTTCTTACAGCTGACATTCACAGCAGAAACACTGGCATTTCCATTTCAGTGGGAAAAAAAAACTAACAAAATACAAAAAAAGAGCAAGTTCTACTTAAAAACGTTGACCACAGAAAATAATGGTTTCAACTCTGACAGAATACACTGTGCATTTCAACCTCACCTGTTCAAATAACACACGAAGTTGGCGTTCTGATTCCCCCACGTATTTTCTCATGCAGTCCGAAGCATTTCTCATGAAAAATGATATTTTCCTGTCACTTCGGCTATATTCACTGGCAAGTGCACGAGCAACTAGTGTTTTCCCTGTTCCTGGGGGGCCATAAAATAGACAGCCTCTGCAATAAAAAAGCAAAAGTAGGCAGGAAAAACAACTGGGCTTCCAGGCAACATGTTACAATTGACTTCCACTAGATAATCCCTTCTTGCTTGCAAACTAATCAAGCTGACTTGTACATAAAACGGAGAACAAAACCACTCCAACCCAACTAACCCAACTTTTTAAAAACACCAGATGGTAAAACTTAAAATTTTAAGACATTGCTTCTATTTTTAACCTACAAATATTCTTGATTCTATCCGTTTTTAAGAAACCACTTTTTGCTACTACTAAAACAAACGTTCACCGCTGCCAAAAATGTTGAAGCATGGAAGCATATTGATACCTTAACTGATCTTTCTCCTGAAAACAGCTGACTTACGATTTATCACTGTAATGAGTTACCTTGGGGGCTGAATATTGAACCGCTGAAAAACTTCTGGATACAGGAGGGGAAAAATCACCATCTCTTTCAAAGCTGCAATGTGTTCCGAAAGACCACCCACGTTCTCAAATCCAATCTAGAGAGAAATTCAACACAACAGAGTTTGTATGTTAAAGAAAGCAGCAATCTAGATCAAGGTTTCATCAGAAATTATCTCAGCACAACGGAAACATTCTGGGCAATTTTTGAAGTTGCTTTAGAGAAAACCATCAAAGGTAGTTGTAGATGGCACACTGAGATCTTTCGTAATCACTGGAAACACTCGCTGACACGATGATTAGTTTACGACTTACCGCACTATCTGTTTGCATTGCATCTCCCTGACTTCTTCCAACTTTCTTTTGATCCCTCTGAACTCTCTTTAGGTCCCGTTTCTGACGTTTCACTCGAAAAGTCCTGATTTGAATTAAGGAGAAGTTATAGGGCTTCTTTTTCTTTAAGATGCAGCTCGAAGATTTTTGTTTTTCGTAATAATGCCAAGCAAATGTAGAAGACATTAATTAACATATAGAAGACCTAATTAATTGACATAAACTTACACAGTTACATTCAGATAAACTTAAACATGGCTAAATATTCATTTGAAGGAGGTTCATCCCTCCCCTATTCTCTAACGACAGCAACCTTCTTGGAGATATGCTCTCGCCATCCTCACTGCTCTCACCACTCGTCCTCCGTATCACACGTGCTAAGCAAGGGAGATGAGCAAGAGGGTGTAGAATCACTGATGTCATCTGCACGTCTCTGTCTGCAAGCAAGCATATAGACCAGAAAGTTCAAAAGAAAACAGAGCAGATACTCAGTAACACCAAAAATCAAGGGAATTCTATCTCAAAATTTACTCTGAGATCTATTTTCCAGTCCATTGTACTCCTTAGGAATCTGATTTCAAAGGCCATGACATGATTTTCCTCGTGACAGCTGTCTGCTTTCAAGAATGCTCAACAAAATATCTGGCAATCAACAGCATTCTCTACGCACTAACTGCTTACAGAATCCAAAAAGCCTTTATCATTACTAAGGCAATTTATGATTTCATTTAGATCTTTTATTGTTTAAGGTTAACTTCACATAGAAACATTAGTTGATTCCAAACAGAAACTAGAGTCAGTATTTGACTGATAACTTTTTCTTTTTTTTTTTTTTAAATCTAACAAAACTTCCATAAAGCCTCTCCCTCTAAATCGAATACAATTATTTTCGGTTTTAAGAAAATCATTTCTATCCTTCAAGATTAAATAGTCTGACTAAGATTTTTAAGGGGGGATTCTGGCTTCAGTTCCAGAACCAAAGAATTTCAGTTACAGAAACCCAAGACACTACCTCCATAATCATCTTATCAGCGACCCACAAATATCGGATTTAAAAAAGAAACCAACTTAAAAGTATCCACCTCCTCCCCTCCAAATATTTCTTTCCTCTCTACCTTAAGACTACCAAAGTACCGATCATAAACTTACTCTGTAATTACCACTAAACTGAAAACCCTTTGAAGCATTATGCAGTAAGGAGACTGACAGCTCTACGGATAAGTAAGAGCTATCACTAGCCATACACCAACCTGGCACGTCTCCTACATTTTTGTGACCCAGCATTTTCAAGTGACTCTTTCTGTCTGACAGAATGGGGCTGGCCCGAGTTAGTCCTCTCTCGATCTCTTTGTCTTACTGAAAGGAAAGAATTTAGAATAATGATACAGATACATTTAAGAGAGGACGATATCACAAGAGAAAGAAAATGCCACGTGTTTCACTCATCCCTAATTCCAGAAGAATTTTTAACTGTTTTTGCTTTTCATCAGTGCATGGCACAAGTGGAAAACTACGCCCTGCTTAAAGGTGAACTGAAAATCACAAGAGCAAGACTATTAAGTGTGATTAAGTACTGTTATATCAAGGATACATAGCACTAAGTATGCCAAACAGCAAAGAAATACAATGTGCACAGGACACACGTGTCTGATAAAAACAGTGAAGTTCATGTGCAGAATGAAGGTACAGAACTGAAACAGAACTGTGTGCGCAAACACATGTATTTGCATTCAAAAGTTTTATCTCACTTATGTGCACGAAATAAGGTTTTAAGAGAAACTGTGCGTTCAACCTACTTTCCATAGGAGCTTGGTAGCGGTCAGCAGGTTTACTCTGTCGAAGGTTGTAACGCCTTGGAACATCTTCACCACCATTTTCTTTGTTCTCACTTCCTTTTGATGTTTGTAGTGTACCACAACATGACAACGAATCGCTAAGTACTTTTGCAAATTATATGAAATCCAAAATGCATTACACAGATGCCTGTAAGTTTTATTATTATCATTATTTTAAGGACACAGTGGATCCTGCAAAACCTTAAGATGAATTTATGCAAGTCACGTTTCAGAAATCACAAATCCTAGCAGATGAGCATGCATCTAGACATTGTTCTGTCCTCTCTGAAACTGCTGATGGACTTGTCGTCAGCCTCAGTGTTTAACAACAGGCAAAATTCTGTCCTATTGCTTAGCTAAGATGCAGATCTTCTGAAAACAGCTATTTCAGAAAGTCGCTTCTTAGTTTCAGAAAGTATTTAGTGGAAAGGGTTTTAATAATCTGTAGGGCTAAGACTAAGCGTAGTAATCTAAGTCCAAGTCTAGCTCTGCCACAAATTCTGTGAGCAATAATGGGCCAGACACAGGCTTGAAGCTCACCAATGAGAAAACAATGCCAAATGCACATAAGCTTAGGCCATTAGCTTCTGTCAAGTAACCTGAAGTTGTTTCATGAAAGATGGTAAAACACACAAGAACCAGAGTGCAATTATCTACTGGGTTCTGGAGAATATCCTCTCACGTTAACAGCAGGACACCGAGGAAGGAACATACATACTCCATTCACCTACCTGTTTGCCAAAAGGACTTCTTTTTTTCTTGGAAAGCACTGCCCTCTTTGGTTTTTATTTTTTAACCCCAAAGGCTGCATTACTTTCTGAATGCAAGGTAGGTGCCATGGGGTATACAGACAGCACACGGAAAACTGAGCGATCAGTAAATGAGTTTGTGATCACTACCATCTCCAGGCCTTGGTGTTCCAACCCTTCTATCACAACAGCATGAATTTCTCTGCTTTATTGCTCCTCTAACCCTTTCCTTTTTCCAATAACTTCCTTTAAACTTCCTTTATAACAACACTGACACTTTCCTCACTCTTTTCTGGCGTATTTTTCATTATAAAAGTATATTCTAGCTCTTTCCTGATTTAAAATTGTAGTTTGCATTTTGATCATCAATTAATTGACCCGGGCTCATTTCCCATTCAACATGCTATTTAAAATTCCTCTCTACAAGTCTCTACTGCACAGCTCCCTGAAACCCACACACTTTAACCAAGCTTCTCCCTCTAGACTGGCCCCCGCCTTGTATTCAAGCTACTCTTGTTAAGACTTTGAGCTAATGTTTTCCTAACTAAACCTCCAAAGGAGTCAACTCTGCTTCTCCCTTACTAGTCCATGGCCCAGCCATTCTTCCTCTGAAGAACTTCCCTCGGGTTCCCACCTGCCACTGTGCATCTCTCTGCTCCTCTGCGCCTCTGAAGGGAGGAGCAAACTATTTTCTGGGGCTCAGCCTCCTGTCACTGTCTCTCTGAGCTCCTTTGCAGGTGTGCAGGTGAGCTCTATCACATAATCTAACTCGTCAGCTCATCTACTTTTTTTTTTCACCTGTTCTGAGCTCACTACAGTACAGCCCTAGAGCTCATACTAAGGCTTGTGAAGTCAAAAGCAACACAGAATTTTTACAGAAGACAAATACCCAGTAGATTAGCTTGTTTCAATTGTTTAAGACAAGGCTTTTGGTTAGAACAGAGTAAAGAAAACTTAAAACCAGAACTCACCAATCTCATCTGGACTGCCAGGTCCAGTTCTTTCAAAGTCCGACTTCACACAGGTGAAGATATCAAGGTTCTCCTAATTCCAAGCAGCAAGAAAGATCGGTCACAAACGTGCAGAAAAACAGACGTGCATACACGTACATCCACTGACAGACACGTCTGTCTGTTGATGCTTACACAGTAACACTATCGAGGCACCCCCTATACACACAAAAAATAAATTATTGCACAAGAGGAGAGAATGGGAATATGATTGCGTGCACCCACAATCAGTAACAAGAATTTCTGCTCTAAACCAGGGCTCAGTACATGCAGTGGTTAAATACTTGCCCAGATACACAACTGAGTGCGTTAGTTAATCATAGGTTAATAACCTACAGCGTGACAGAACCAAGGAAAAAGAACTACCTTTCTAGCAGACATACCAAAAGAAATCATACAGGCGTGTGAGAGATGCTAATAAAAAGTACTGTGGACAATTCTGGATTCATTTCACAGCCCTGGGCAACCAGCTCTAGGTGTCCCTGCTTGAGCAGGGGAAGGTTGGACCAGGTGACCTCCAGAGGCCCCTTCTAACCTCAACCATTCTGTGATTTGAGAGGAAAAGAAGGACATTCAGAGCTAAACAAAAAGCTATGAAAGTAGGTTATCGGGAAGTTTTAAAATGATGTGCCTATCATTCAAAAGAACAGTAATTTAATAAAATAGTTTAATTTAATAGAGCAAAACTAAGACAGAGGAAGTATGATTGCTGCATACAACTTTAACAGGGGTTCCTCTAGAGACAGGGGTTTATTTAAGCTCTCAGGCAAGGCCAGCACACGAACAAATATACATAAAGTAGCCATCAGTTCATTCAGCTGGAAGTTTGAAAGGCTTCCAGTTCCTGAAAACTCTGGGAGCAGTTTGCAACCAAGGAAGAATTCCGAAATGCAAGTTAGGTCAATTAAAGAAAACAGCTCCATTTGCCTGTAACAGATGATTAAAGCTACATGATACTGGAGATTCTTTGTGAGCTCTCAGGAAAAAAAACGTTAACAGGAATCAAAATTCGAGCGAGTGACCAACACAGGAAGCTATGCACTGCCTTTTGTTAAGCTTTCCAAGTAAGTGCGTTCCTGAGCATGACGAGAAATATGATTTAGGAGTTAAGGATAAAAAGCTAAACAGCTTAAACTGCCAAGCTGATGGAAAGCACCAGTCTTTTTGCATATTCAGTCCCCCAGGCAGAGCTTTTAGTAACATTTGGAGTAAAAACCCAAGTCCGAAACAGCTGTTTGTAAACAGTGTCCATTCAAAAAGCAGAAGGCAATTCAGAAACTGGAGTGGAAGACATGCATTGCAGCATCTCCCCGTTATCCCACATCTTCTGCAGAAGATGCTTCCTCCACTCTGAAAAGATATCTGGAGCACAACCGTATCAGTAAGACATGAAGATATAACCAGAGAGCAAGACCAAATGGTAGTTTAGACCACGCTATTCTTTGGAAGGAAGTTATTTCAGTTCAATTAAAATTACAACTAAGTTACTTCCCTACGTGAAACGCTCTACAAAAATGGCAAACTGACGGAGTATTTGCTCTGTCATTTGTACCTCAACATCTTCCCAACATCTTTGGCATCTACGCATCTGCTCCATTTCAGCCATTTGTTGTAGCACAACTTCCGCAGTACTAAGATACAAAGTTGACATGTAAGAGCAAAGTTAGGCATGTACGAAAAAAATAAAACAGCACACATAATCAGTAAGAGATTTTAATGGAGTATGCACAAAGCAAAAGTCATTGACACTTAGCCAAGATTTTAGACATTACCAAAAAATTAGGTCAAATCTTTATTTTTGATAGAGATTTAAGAACAAGCTTTTGAGGATTTGCAAACATACGCTGTTTTCAGGTTTATTTTCCCCTCTTACCGAGCACATTTAAAATATATATATATTTAAATGCAGGAGGAAAATAAGAATTCTGACATCCTAGTAAGATGTTATAAAAAAATTATGTCAACTTTTAATCCTACTTAAGTTGCTCTGCACAGTAGCATTAAGTCATTTTTTGTTAACCGAGGAAAGGCTGTTTGTTCTTCTCTACATGGGAATCTCAGTTTCGTGTTGTAGAAAATGATGAAATGCAAGGAAAGCAAATTCTGAAGCAGAAAACAATTTTGGCTTCAGAAACAGAAATAAACCATGGACAGAAATGCAGAACTGCTAGGACTACTTTGCTTTGACTGTATCAAACCGTCCTCAGTTTCTTAATCAACCATTACATTCACTTTTGTGAGTATGGAACAAAAAGTTCATTAAAAATGAACGCACTTCTGATGCTAAGAAAACTGCCAAATGGGGAAAACTCAACGAATTGAACTCTCAATGCCAGGAGCAGCCATACCTCTTTGCTGTCAAAATACAGAGCAAGTCGAGGCCAACATCATGCCATAGTGCAAAGCCTTGCTAAGGAAGATCATTTTAAGAGGTCTGCAAGAAAAGAGGACTTACTTTGTTATAAGTTTGTCAAATAGAATGGACGAGTTAGTAGTAGAGTACCGACTGCGTCCGACGCTACAGCTGCGGCGCAGCTCCAAGTCCCTGTTTTCTCCGTGGACTTGTCTCACAGTTTTTGCACCAGCTCTACTCCTCGATGTTCTAGTGACTGAAACACAGAAACAAAGTATTTTGAAACAGTGAAGATGGGATTCTCCTTGTTTCACCGTTGCTCTTGTAAAATGTAAACAGACAAACAAAAAATCCACCCTGAAGTGGATTGATTTTTCTTTAAATTTCAGAGCAGAAGTTGTTGTCACAACCACTGCATTCCACTTACTTACCGCTCTGCACGTTTAAACTGTCTACTGAAAACTGTGACCTGTAGAGAAATTCTTAAAGAGACTGAAAGCTATCCAGACAAAAACAAACGTGCAACTTTTGTTCCATGCAGGAGGGAAATCTACTCCAGTTATTTCTGTCTTGGAAAAGGGAGAACAATCAACACCTTTCTCTAAGGTGTTTTCACTCCATTCATGTCAAACTGTATCTAACAGTGCTCAAAACAAACACTATTACATTGCAAGCCTCTTCCTAAGAGGTGTATGTTTTATTACTCTGTTTATGCATGCAGCACTTTCATTTCCTGCATTATGATCTAACAGCTCAAGGAGGTAAGAATCGTTTCAAGAGAAACACCCAAACACCACATAACTCAAACTCGTGCTTTTTAGAAAAAAGCCTGCCCATTGTTTACCATACAGCACCCTTTGGCACACGTTTGTTGCTTGCACTGTCATTAAAAGAGCCAAGAGGACAAGGGGAAGGGAAGAGCTACGCCACTGTGGTGGTAGGATCACAGCTAAGGTTTACTTTTGTGGTTGCCAACTATAAAACTAAGTTTGAACTTACCAAGTATCAATTTACTTTGCACAATTAGAACAGTTTGCTTTGTGCCTACCAAGCTGCAATTCACACTGCTCCCTCCCCAAGGAATTCATAAAATCTCCTATTTGCACCTACCTCTCTTCACAGAAAAGTCACTGATGAGTGAATTCAGCTGACTACAGAAGGCTTTGGGGCCAAATGAAAGCGATGGAGTGACCAAGTGCCATCCTCTTCAGTAACCAGCGTAAATAGGTATCCCGGGGAGTTACAGCCACTTACCTGTGTTATATTCTTTTTTTTGTTCCAATTTCGGCTTTCTCAACTGCCTACATTAAGAAAGAGGACAGGGGAGAGAAGGGAGAAAAGAGTTTTTGTGTTAGACCCATCAAGGGTGGGAAATTTCACCATGTTTCAAAGGGCTTTGCAAATTCCCTGAAACGTCTGTCAGTGGCAAGTCTGTGAGTAACGTCCCTCAAGAAAATTCTAAGTTCACGCAAGGTATCCTCCTCTTCCTCCTCCAGCATCCCTACTTCTTCCTCTTGTGGCTTCTGAGGCTCAGCCGCTGGTGCTACAGGCAGGACTTCCAATGCCCGATCAACTTCAATTAATCAGGAAAAATTAGCCAATTTACAGTACTCAAATACAAGCATATGACAAATTACTGACAGAAAATGACCACTAAAGCAAATCCCAAAGAGCTAGTAACTTCAATAGGAAAGTTTTAGATGTACTTCTTATATCCTCCTCACCTGTTTTCTTTACAGGAGGCTTAGCCACTTGATTTAGAATTAGGTCCTCAAAAAAAGCTGCTCTCTCTGCCCTACCAGACAACTCAATATTGCACACTTCTCCAAATTCCTTATTAAATAATTTTTGGATCTAAAGCAGAAGGAGGAAAGACGTTTCAGATTTAAAGGCCACAAAAACTCATCTTCTATTCCAAAAAGACGAGTACCTTTTAAAATTAATAATAACCTGAAGAACACAAACTGAAAAAAGTTATCTTCCTGGCCTTAAAAGGCTACATTTTCACAGGCTGACACGGCAAATTCAAATATCACCTTTAAGAATCACCTGTAGAATTAAAGCTCACTGAAGGGATTGTATGCTACACTGATAAAGTAATGCCTTTCACCACGTCCAACATCACTTCCTTTGTATTTACTTGCCTTGATGCATCCTTTACTTAGAACCTTTATGGCTATAGAGGGAAGAGAAAGGCTTCAGCAGACAAGTGAGAGCTTTTTGCTGAGTTTTTATTTCTCTACCAAAAGGTGCCTGAAGTAGCTAGTACCTCTACGTCTTCCTCCATTTTCCATTTCTAGTATTAAAAGGTAGGTAAGGAATTTCACTACTTATTTTAGAAGGAATTCAGAACCTGTACAAAAACTTCTGTGGGAACTCAAGCACTTTCAAAGCAGTTGATAATAAACACGTCTAGGTAAGACCCGTTCTCTTCCCCCACTAACTGAGACAAAATAATCAGAATGAGAACAGCGTGTTCCTGTTTTGGGCACCTTCCCTTAATGTAAACTCTCAGAAGTCAATGAAGTCCTGCATGTACTTTTACTACAGTTTATTTAGGAATACAACTAGAATTCCATTCCAAAGTTACTTGAGCAGAAATTGGAACTCAGCTTTCCAGCTTGGAAAGCTTTGGCCTATCTGAAGAAAGAAACTGATTTCTTTTTTTTTAAATCAAAGTGTTTCAATTCTCTACTAAATTGCATTTCAATTCTCTACTAAATTGCATTATTAGCAGTTTACCCAACATAGCATGGAATGGCAGACTGTCAGAAGAAATCTCTTCAGTAAAGACATCCTCTTGTCATTTCAAGCACTGCATATTCTTGACTGAACCACTTTGTAGCCACCGGAATTATTGTATTAATTTATTATTTGCATGCATGAGAAAGGGGTGAACGTCACTTGCTTGACTCAGAAAAAACCTTAAGCAGATGCTTTCACAGTATTCTTTTTCTCTAAGCAAATTTTAAGTGATTTGTTAGGGTGCCTGAGTAATAACAGTATGCATTTAACAAAGCACAGCATTTTGATGCTGAAAGCATTCATAAATTACAAGACACTGAAGAAATAGTAAGAAAAGTATTGACAAATACCTCTTCTGGGAGATCTGAGTGACATACATCAGACGTAGCAAGCAGCAAAACTGGCGAAAATGCTGGAATGTTACGTAGTAGAGTTAGAAAAGTAAGTTTCAAGGCAGGTCCAGCGTTGTCCCACCATAAATGGATATCTGGGACATAAATTATGCTTGGTGCTGTCTTCTGAGCATTTCGGATCAGCTAGTGAAAAGGAAAGCTTGGGTAAGAAAACTGAAACACGGAGAATAACCTGTTAATACATAGCTACATAGCCATCTGACTGCCCCATGAAATGAAGCAACGTGAACAGAGTGGCAAGCATCCTTTCACATAAGGAATTTCTCTGGGCACCCTTTCAGATTATCAGTATTCGGAGAACTCTAGTCAGAAGATGGGAAGGATATATTCAGGCAGTGGCTAGACACCGTAGCTGTATGGCCACAGCCACAATCATCGCTTAACAAAGAAAGGAAATGTCCCTCTTATGGGACACATCAGTATTCAGTCGTGTAACATGTCTGTCCTTACTTGTATGGCTCTCAAACGTTTCCACTAAAGGTAAAAATATTTTGAGGTAGTGATGCCAAACAATAAAATGGATTTCCTGCCTAAAAGTGAAAACACCAAATCTGTTCATTTTCTCTAGTTAAAACCACATCAGCGTGCAAATGAAGTGTTTTGTGAATGTTAATGCTTTTATTGCACATACTGCAACGGCACAAGTTGTCTATGTCCGTGTGAAAACAAAATAAACACAAGCCCCAAACCTTGGTTGCCTTACTACTATAATTTAAAAGAAGGCTACAAAAAGTAGCTGACATGCAGTCTGGTACAGAGCCATCTACTGGGAGCACACAGCCTTAGGAGGCAATGAGAACTACTTTCTGGATCCCAGGGAGATGAGCAGTATTTCTTTCCACAAAGAGATGTTTATTAGCAACACCGCCCAGCTTCCTGAGCTGCTAGCAACATCCTCACTGTGAAATTGGGTATGGAAAATGTGGACATGTACAACATCCAGATTGTTTGCGGTGCTGTCTAAAAGAAAAGGGGATTTTCAGACAGAAGCAAACATCCCAGCACATTAAAACAAGGCCACCTCCATTACCAATGAATTTTGCTCACCTTACTTGCAACTCGATTGATCCTTTACATACAGTCAGAGAATCCGATGAGAATAAAAAGAAAAAAGGTACCTGTCCGCAGATTTCTTCTGGCAGTGCAACGTTTGTAAGCAGAACAGAAAGGTCCAGGGTGTGAACGGGAAACTTCTCCAAAGCGTGCAACACCGCGGGTGCCACGTATGAAACCTGGCCGTACCCTTCTTTTCCTACTATTAGCAGACGGGGCCGGCGTGATGTTGGTTCGCAGAAAGCACTCCTAGAACAAGAGTTAAGAAAACAAGTTTATAAATGAGGTGCTGAATAGACAGACACACAGATGTTCCAAGTACTTTTCCTATAGACTCTCTTTTCCCTCCCCAAATAATCCAAATGGCAGTGGTATATTAAATACATGTAAGATTTCCAGTTAAGTTATTCAGGCATTCCAATTGTTTCATCTTCTTCCCTTGTGTTTCCTATTCTTTACTAAACCAAGACTGCCAATTAATATCCCTGCAATCTTGCTTTACTACTAGGAAATAAATTTGCTAGGAGCATTTCTTTCCCCACTACAATCAGGCTGTTCCTTTGCTGGCTTAAATCAAAGATGCTAGAGACTTAGCTTTGCTCTGAAGCACAGAAAATCTTCTGGACAGCACAGCAATAGAAACTGAGAAAAATAACTGATCCAGCTGCAACAACATGATCTAACTTTCCAACGGTGGGCTTGCATGACTTCCATACTAAAATACCAAAAGATTAACACAACTTGGTGGCTTAACAAATAAAGACACCGTTCAAATTTTTCTCAAGGTGTTTTAACAAGCCATTTCTCAGTTTTCTTTCGGCTACATAATTCACTACTGGTTTAACAATCCTGGAAAACAGAAGGACAAAAGGTGGCAACACAAACCCATAAAGTTGGGGTATTTTTAGCTAAAAGGACAGGCAGGACATTTATGTGGTCTTGAGTCTTTCAAAGAATGCCATGGATTAAGTCAACGTGTTCTGGTAGTCTACAGATCACTTTGGCTTAGGAAGAGAAGCCTGGGCTTTTCAATTTGGTCATTCACAGCAACTTCATTACAACTTTAGTCCCTTTACCCTTTCTTCTTGTGAATACCAAGCACCCCTTCAACACACAAACTTGATGTTACCCCTTCATCTACCACCCCTCGCACTTTTAACAGCTGGAACTGTTTACAAAGACTCAGCAGACCTGAGAATTTAAACGTAACAGGGATCTATCTTTCTTTACCTGCTGAAACAGAGGCGTTTTTTCTCTGGTCCGTCAGGCATTCCATCTTTTAATTCATCTCCAGAAACCAAGGATGCATCATCATCACCATCGAACATATCATCTTGTAAAATAGGATTTAAATGGTCTGAAAGGCAAAAGGGGTTTGTTAACTTTCCTGAATACCCTTTGTCTCTTTCTCTTACATTAATACAGCTTCTAAATCAGTGCCAAAACCCTTTCTTCATTTGAGAGCACACACTGAAAGCTATTTCCTAGAGTTCATCCCACCACAGATTTAAGGAGATGGCACAAGGCCCTACAAAGCCGTACTAAGTCCCACTGATATGTGCGTATAAGGTATGCTACTCTTGGTGATTTTTTTCTCCCCCTTGGAATAAAGGAGATTACCAACAATTTCTGCAGTTGCTAAATAACTAAAAAAAAAAAAAAACAAGACCAATTCTTTCCGGAGGAGGTTCCCACAATGAAAGCACGGTGATAAAGGATGTGATGGTCACAGAATTCCATTCATCTAGTAAGTATCAATGCTAATTGATCTCACATGCACGTGTATAGTATGATCCACAAACATTTACATTAGGAGACTGGTTAAAAATGATGATAGCTACAACAATATTTAGCTTAGACCAGTTACACTTGTATCCTGGTCCTGACATTCTTCAGAAAGGAATTAGAAACATTGACCTAGAAATGCTTCCCCTCCAAATATCTGAGTTTTGATTTTTTAAAGAAAAATAGGTGCATTATACTTCAAACCTCAAGTCAACCGCTACAAATGCTAATTATCTTAGCTGTCGTCAGAAGCAGGATGCTTCAGTAGAGAACGCATCGTCCTTTACTGTGTATTGAGTCATTCAGAGTTTCCATTTGGCATTTCAGTTTTGAATCCAGAATAAAACCTACGCGTTATCTTCCAGACATGCCCAAAAGAAAGACATGCACATGCAAAAAATAAAATTCTACCATCGTTATATCTGAAAGGTTTAAGTTGATTGCACAAACCACAAGTTTTTGCTTTAGCAGAATTATAAAGAAGTGGATGCTGTGGTTATATCTTGCTGTCGGTCCTCCTTTAGCGCAAGCTGTGCATACGGGAACATCTTCTGCACAACTTGTAAAATATTCTCTACTGATCTTTTAAAAAGTGCCATGAAAATTGGTGAGAGTGCTTGTCCGGGTGAAGCCAAGATCCTGTTTGATGCCGGAACAACCTTCTTCCTACTGGTCATTCAAAACTGCGAAAAAAATAGTCTACCAAGTCACGTTCTTTTGATTTGATAATAAATCTGCAGACTGTTAAGTCATCAAGCACTTCAAGACTGTTTGAAATCATCTCTACATTAATATAAAAGGAGTACTACGCACTTCTGCTCAGGAAGAAAACCACGGAAAAATGTAGCCTTTGATTTTAGATGTTGAATTTGTTGCAGGGACATCTTCCTCATCGCATGATTCTATTTGGATTTAAACCATATTATCTATGGAGAGACCAGGATTAGGACAAGAACAGCACAGAGTGCAGCATGAAGCCAATCAGGAGCTCCAGTTTGTATTCTTTGCATTCAACTTTATCCTTCTCTTGCTGGATGGACCTGCTTTTTGACTCTCCTTCTCTTCACTAGTCTCGTTCTTTGTATCTTGGCATCTCTCTGTAATAGCTGAGGAGGAAAGGTTTTTAGAGCTACATTCAGTGTCAGACTCGAGAGAGGAAGTTTACTGCAATTTCTCACCAGGCTCAGAAGACTCTTTGCCGGACAAAACGTTTTCTTTGGAAATGAGGTCACGTTCTTTTCATCTTCTTGGTTTCTCCTTCTCTCCACCATCATCACATTGGTACTGGGCGAGGCATTCATCATTCCCAGCAGATTTCGGAGGGTCTGCCACACTGCACAAAAGAAAATCACATTTCTCACTTCTGCGGAAGGACGTGAATATTAAGAGGAAAACCTTCCAAAGGCAAACAAACAAACAAAAACCTCCGGACGACAGGAACACTCGCAAAGATATGCCATTTAGAAACCTCTCCGGTGATTAGGACACCTTCTCCAGCTCCCAGAGAAAGTGTTTTTTCCCCTCTTGCTTCTGAAGCCATTGCACTAAAAAAGCAAACGCATCTCTCTCCCTCCACATGCTGCTCTGAGTAAGAGCCAGAATATTCAAAACCACCCTATTTGTTCTCCCCACACAGCTGAAAAAACAACAGTTGAAACAGAGTTTTCTACCTCTCTCCCAAGAATTTACATTCACATACCCTATGACTGAAAAAATACAAGGCGGGGCTGAGGAGGAACAGCCAGTGTTGGAAATGAAAAAAAGCAGCCCGTTTCTTCAGAGTCTTAAGCCTATGCTACTAGGAAAAAAACAAAACAAAACAAGAGGAGAGGAAAACAACAGCGGGAAATTTACCTATTCTCCACGTGTTCAATTGCAAAGCCTCCTCTGGAGGATCAACAGCTGTGAATTCAGCGTGCTTAGGAGAAATCAGATCTACATCTGAACCCCAACTGTTTCAGTAGTATCACTAACTCACGTTACTCTGAAGAAGCAGTCAGCACCGTGTCTCTGTTAGGAAATAGCTGAACATAGTATGTTATTCACAGGAATTATTCAGGCAGCTTTGTTTAGGAAGGCTGGCTTTCACTACAACATTACTAGCCTGTAAGCCTCATGGCATCACCTTCCATCCTGACTGCTAAACCTCCTTGCTCCCTACTATCTTCTTTGCCAAGATACAGCTCTCCACATTTACTTTTCCTACTTGGATGGACTGAATTTAAGTTGTCCTCCCATTCTTGTTTAAAAGTGATCATCGCCCCCCGTCAAAGATCAGTCGACAAGTTTGTTTTATATCAAACAGGAGCACGTCGTCTCCCCCGAAAACACCATCTATGAGGGTGGAGACCATTGCAGAATGAAGCCCTTTATCCGCAATGGCTTTAACAATCGCTTGGACATCCTCAGGGTTTATTGGTGAGTGAACCCTCTGCCCCCCGTCTGTCACCCAGACCGGGAACGCTAGCATGGCCGATAGAGCCCAGACGGCGCACACAATCTTAAGTTTCTCAATCCGTGAGAGGAATTTCTCCCCCTCGCGGTGCAGCTTTCTTTCGGTTGGGGATGTTTTCGCTATCTGTCCCCATTTCCTCCTCCTCCGAATTTGAATCGCTATCTGATCCGGAGTCGGAGCTCGGCTGACTGCTCACCTCCGAGTTCCGGTCCCCTCCCGTCGAGTCCTGGCCCTGCCCCCCACCCCTGCGGGCGGGCCGCTCTCTCCCTCGTGGCTCTCCCCGCCGCCTTCTCAGCGAGGCGTTTGAGCCACTGCAGCGTTTTTTCGGATGGCCGTTCCGATCGGCTCTCTGCCCCTCTCTCGCGCTTCTACCTCCTCCCCGGTCGTCCCCGCAACCGTTTGCTTTCTCCCCTTTGCACGTGTTAGTCAAACCTAGCACTTCTTCCCCGTTCCCGCAGGAGGCTTCTTCACCCGACTCTTCGTTTTCTAGTTCAGCACCGTTCTGGGGCGCACATGGCCGTGGCCGCTCCCAGATTTCCCCAGGGTCTCGGTCCCCACCGGCACCCCTGGCTTCCTCAGCTGAGCCACCCCACAGCTTCCACAACTTGGATACGACCTTCACAAGGGTTTCCATCTTCCTTGTTGGGCCGGGAGCGTCCTCCCCGCCGGGCTGGTCCCGCCGCTCCGGCCGCCGTTCTCCCGAATCCCGGAGTTTTCCCGGGTTTCGGCACCACTTGTCGCCTTCAGGGGGCAGCGGCGACCAACCCCAGGCCGCTCGGTCCATCGGCTCACAGACACCAAGGTGGTGGGTGGCAAACGCCGTTTATTGTCGAGTCCCATGGGCTTATCTACCCGAGGCCCATAGCGCCACTTCCGCTTGCTTACAGCACAGCCCACACGCTACTGCCCATCAAGGGAGGGGCTCCACCTTTCCGTGCAGCGCGACATATTCCGGCCGCCAGCCCCCAACTACCCACACACCTAACTAGAGGAGCAAGCAGCACCTTGAGAGACCCAAGCCTCATGGAGGTGCCTGCATATTCAAGGGAGGTGTTTGTGTGGCCTGGGGAGATTCTCTGGTCCTCTGACATCCTGCTTGTGTGCCCCAGGGATACGTTATCTAATGCCCAAGGGAGGAGCCTTGGGGCTTTTGGAAGGTGATTTAAAGATCAAAGCCAAAATTTCTTTAAGTGGTATATTCTTTATTGCAGCGCTGGATGCACGGGGGATCCTTCCGCCTATCGTGCACGTTCGAAGTGACAAAATATCTCATATTTATGCAGCGAAACAATGAATATTCAATCAGCACGCATACATATTCATTACCTAACCCCGCCTACCCTCGCTTCGTATGCTAATTAGCTTATCAGTCCTTGCGCTTGCGCAAAGCCTTCCAAGAATTGTGGGCCGGGGTCTCCAGGATGTGGGCAGTGGTCTTTGGGAGGAAGGCCGTAGGTCTTCCTCGTAATGCACTTTTCACCTTTGCTTAATCAGTTGTTTTCCAAGCTGTAAAAATGCTGAGTTGGCTTTCAGTTTAACTGAGGGTCGGCAGATAACAGGAAGTCTCAGTTAACAAGACAAGACAATTGACTCAAGTTATCTCAAGTCTCAGCCTGACTAACGGTTAACAGATACTGGGATGTTTTCAAATAACAAGATGCTTAAACATAACAAAAGGTCTACAGATAACAAGATGTCGTTTACTTTGTCCTTGCTAACTTTTAACCACAAGTTTTATTCTATCCTAAAGTGAGTTTATACTATATCAAAGGTGTAGGGATGACCTGGATTGATGCCTGTTTGCTCTGGGGAGATGCTGGGATGTCCAGAAAGACGCTTGGGTGACCAGGGAGATGCTTGGGTGCCAGATGGAAAATGCTGATGCGCCTTCAGATGATGCCTGGCAGGATCTTGATGTTCCTTTGTGCCCTGGGGAGATGTTTCAGTGCTCTTGTTAGGTTCTTGACTTTTGTAAACAACTCTTCAGTTGTCTGGGAGAATTTTTCAGTGCATCTGGAGTGAGATGCTTGAGTGCTAAGAGAGAATTCATGAGTGCCCCACTAAAATGCTGGTGTCCCCTGGGGAGATGCCTGGGTGCCTCGTGGTCATACTTGAATGACCCTGGTAGGTGCTTGTGCACCCCACGGAAGCTCTTGGGTGCCAAGGGAGGTGCTTCCCATCTGCAGTGAGAGGTTTGTGTGCCCCAGGTGGTGTTTTGGAGCCCTGGGGAGATGGGAGACGCGTGGGTTCTCCACTCAGATGTAGGAGTGCAGTGGGGAGATTGTTGAGTGCTCCAGTGAGGTGCTTGGCTGTTCCAGGGAGGTGCTTCTGTGCCGCAGGGAGATGCTTGGGTGACAGGGGCAGAACATTTTATTATGAGGGAAGAAATGTATGTGCTCCGGGGAGGCTTTTCCTGTGCCCCAGGGTTATGCTTATATGCCCTGGGGAGAAGCAGCTTGGGTCCCCTGAGAATATCTTTGGGCTTCTTAGGAAGATGCTCTATTCCTCTGGGGTCACTTGAATGCCCCATGAGATGTTTGAGTACTGCAGAGGGTGGTTTGTGCACCTCCAGGGAGGTGCTGGAGTGCACAAAGTGTGCTTTTCAGTGCCTTAGGGAGGTGCTTGTCTGTCCCTGTGAGATGCTTGGTTGCTCCAGAGGGGTGCTTGTGAACCATAGGAAGGTACTGGTGGTCCCCAGAGAGGTGCTTGTGTGCCATGGGAAAATGCTTACAGACCTCGAGGAACTCCTTGGTCCTCCAGGAAGGTGCTTGTTTTCTCCAGGGAAATGTTTTTGTACCCAGGGAGATGATTGTTTGACCCAGGGCAATGTACCTCCCCCGTTTCACTCCAAAACTTTCTTGGAGGAACAGAGCACCTCTCTGGGGAACAGTAGCATCACTCATGGGCACACAGCCATCTCCATGACGCACCCAAGAACATCCTTGTAGCACACAATTATCTCCTGGATGGAAGCCAGCACTTCCCCGGAGAAACCTTTCACCTCCCTGGAACAGCCCAACATCTCCCTGGGGAGCCCAGGCACCTCTCTTGAAGACCAAGGATCTTCCTGGGGTACCCAAGCATTTTCCCAGGGCATGCTGGCATCTCCTCAGGGCATCCGAGCCCCGTCCTGGATCCCAAAGTCTTCTCCCAGAGGCAGCCAAGAACATTCCCAGAGCACTCACATTTCCATTGATTTGGTGCAACAAAGCACAATACGTGGGCGCCCAGGCATGTCTCTGGAGCACCCAAGCATCTCCTTCATGCACCATAGCATCTCCCCAGGGTACACAAGCAACTCCAGGGGCATCCAAGCACCTGCCTAGGGACCCCCAGCAGCTCCCTGTTGTTCACAAGCTCCTCGCAGGGGTACACAAACATGTCGCCAGTAAACCAGTGCTTCTCACCTGAGGAAACATACCTCTCCGCCAAGCACTCCAGCGCCAGTCTGGAGCAATCAGCCGCCTCCTGGGAGCACCCAAGCATCTCAACAGGGCAAACAAGCACCAGCCCAGGGAACTCAACAGCACACTTGGAGCACTCCAGCACCTCCCTATAGGACACAAACTGCTCTCTGCATTACTCAAGCACCTCCTGGGGCACCCAAGTATCTCCCGGGGGAATAAGAGCATCTTCCTAGGGAGCCCAAGGACATTCCCAGGGCACACAAGCACCTCCCTCCCCAGGGCACATAAGAATATCCCTGCTGCACCCAAGGTTCTCCCCTGGTCCCTCAAGCATCTCCCTGCAGGTCCTAAGCATCTCGGTGGAACGTGTAAGCACCTTCCTGGGCACAACACCCACCTTCTTGGAGCAGACAAGCAACTCCCCTGGGAATCCAGCACCTTCCTGGAGCATCCAACTGTCTTGCTCGGGGCAACCAAACACCTCCCCTGACATCAAAATGTATCCCTGGAGAACCCATGCCTCTTCCCGGAGCAACCAAGCGTCTCCCCAAGATACCCAAATATCTTCCCAGGACACCCAATAACCTTCGTATCACACTTAGGAGGAAGGTCTACAACAACATTTCTTGGTTCCTGTTGTGCTGTGGGGCTGCTCAAAGCCAGCCCCTGCTCAAGCAGCTGCTGAGCTCCAGCCCCTGCTTAGGCTGCAGCGGAACTCTGGCCCTGCTCAGCCTCAGACATTCCTCTGCTCCAGGGGGATGCCTGTGTTCCAAGGGGGTGCCT